CCATGGTCTCTGAAGGACGGTATCTGACGGGAGACGACGGAGACTACGGCGACTCCGCAGAAGACGCCAATACAGGCCCAGAAGATCGAAACGAGGTTGCCGACATTTTGAGGCTTTGACTTGCGGTAGCCAAAGAAGTGAGAAATAGGATATGGAAGATGTTTCCAAGGAGGCGGTGGAACAAAGGGGTTGAGAAATCGATCAATGTCGAAGTCCCAATTCCTTGGGTTGCAGCGCAACATCGGGTATTATGTGATCGTCGTTGCGCCAAGTCCGGGGTAGGACTAGATAGTATGGGGATGCGGAGCCACTATACCAGGGGAATGAACATGAGTTGCCCCTTCAGAAGCATGCTATGTCGGAGGGCTACCACTTTCTGTTCCTTTTTAGTAACCTTTCCTCAGTTTGTTTGACATGTTGAATTTGAATGTACTCACGTATTCCTCGGCAATAGTTGTCGATCCAAATGCAAGTTTCTGATTGAGATGACAGCACAAGCCACGCACAGGCAATGGTGGTATCGTGCCAAACACCGTTACACAGTAGCGTGGTGAGAAGAGACTGGACCAAACAAGGGACGAGTTGACAAGTGATAGCAACACGGCCCATTCACATTTCATCCAATTCAATCCCATCCCAGACCCGACACGGGATCTGGGGATCTTGCATCAGCTTTAACGGCCATTAGTGCCGCGGAGATTCAGCATCGACAACGACCGGCTGACTGTTCGTTTTGGTGTTGACTGGGGAGGCCCCACGTCATATTTAGTAACAGAAACTCCCGAAGAGGCTTAGATGCCGGACCAGGCGGGCTGCCACCGGGCATATGTGGACCCAAAAACGGCTTTTCGAAGAGCTTGAGAGCTGTTGAAGCAGCGTTAAAGCAAACTATTATCTAACAGATGGCAAATCACCCATAGTGTGACTGTCTTGGTCCATCCAGGTGAGCAGCCGTGCCGTTCTGGCGCGCTTTGCTAAGGTAGGCTCGGTAATCTCGCGGTGTTCGCTCGGGAACGGCCTGTTTCGGTGGGCAGGGTAGCCAGTGTGACTCCCCTTTGTCGCTGTCAAAGTTGTCAAATCTCCGGACGCCCGGGACGGACTGCTGCTGTCTCAGAGTTGCAGAGGCGCTGATTACATTGTAGGCAGGAAGATGAGATTTGAGTCTTGCCCTCGACGGAATTACCACTGAGATTGCCATAGGAATTGAGACCTTTGGGGAGAGTCATGTTTGTCGCTTGTCGTTTGCAAGCCATTAACGCTATGGCGTGCTTCATCAATTCTAGTAGGTATTCCGCTCGCTGTTCGCAAACCCCAGATGTGGGATGCCGATGCTACCCAATGAGTTCACATTGTCTTCTAACTTGACACCTAGGCTGCTGAAAGTTGCACATTTCGGAGTTTCTTTGGACCATGACTCTTTCACTTCTCTTACACCACCATCCACAACGGCACCAGCCGTTCGACTCAAGCCAGCCGCTCCCAAACCTTATACATACTTAAGTAGGCATCGAAATGACGTCCCGTCGCTAAGAAGCTTTGTGGCGTACAGCTTACTACCACCACATGTTACACGGTACACCCCTGTGAAGGTTGCACCGAAGCAGTTGGCATTCAATCAAGAAGCCACAACATATCGCGACAGCCCGGACTGTATCTCCAAGAGATATCACTTGAAGAAATGGTTGCTTCTTCTCTCACTATCGCGGTTACAATTACAACCACCCGGTGGTACAGACACCGACGTTCATGTTCGCACGCGGACCTCGCGGCCTGGCAACAATAACCGACTTACAACTGATCAGCCCAAACGAGAGCGAGGTCAAAGCACAGCTAGTCGCCTGATATTTGTCCTGGGGTCATTGGTGGCCCTGCTACACTCGGTCGATTCTCTGCACGCGATCGATGGACGCAAAAGTTGGCAAACTTTCAACGAGTGCTCGTGGCAACATCGGTTGCAACCTGAATTTCGTAGTGAAGTTACATTCAGAGTAGTTTTGTGTCATTTCCAGGCTTGATAAATTCAGTTGATACGGTGAATCTCTTGACCTCGAGTCACTCCTCGTCTGTGCGATTACGAGACTTTGTGAGCGCGCATTTCACGTCTATTTTCAGATTCGATCAATATGTGTGCCAAGGGTAATTGAGGGAATGTCTGCGGACCTCACACTACGGCAAAAGAAAACTACTCTATCTCTCCGCGAATGAGTAATAGATGACACTTGGTAAACAATGGAAGGCAGCAATCAAATAGGCGTTGGTGATATGAACGTAAGATTCCGTTTAATTCGGACTTCAAGTAGAAAGACATTGATTCATTCTCAGTGATCAAGTCTCAGATTCATTTGCCGCATCCATATCGTGATTCTGGAAGGTGAGTAGATAGAAGTGATCAGTTCAGAGAGGTGCCAGCGTGAACCAGAGCTGATACGTTCAAGCAAAGCTTCCGCCTTTATTAACACACTGGTAGTAATATATGCTACTAGCTCCACGTGAGGTAGAATGGCATACAGCCATGAGTAAGTTGCAATTCAAGAGAAATTAGGCGTGTCTTGTGATGGCTCATCAAGATATAAAGGGCCGACTTTACCATGTAGCTCTACTTTGATCCTACCCAGGCGCGGTTCTGGATGACCTCGGACCAGGCGAAGTCTGAGATGAAGTGAATCTAGAATCCATTGTCTACATACCCCTCAAATGAGAATGTATCGTGATATTGCCGATTTCAAGACCGATTCCACGTCACCAAGGTTTGTGCACTTTCGAAGGTTTCGGAATCGATACTTAGTCGTGCGAGGGGGCAGCTGAGGAAGTAGGCCTCAGCAACACTGCACTCATTTGCCGTGAAGAGGACAGACTTTGCGACGATGCCTTTGTGGATCCTATGCAGGCAAGTCGTTGCTCTCTGCTCAGGTTTGAACTGGCCCAAATCTACGCCTTCATCGGAGACATACCTTAGACTGAAGGAGAACCAAGTCATTGAAGGTTTAAATGATGCCATACCATGATCAAATTAGGATTGAGGGGTTCTTTAATCTGCTCTCCATAATTGACATACTCAATCGGCATTCGCTGTGAGATCGTACGAAAAGGTCTGGAGTGTTTGTATACGGATTCGCGGCTTGGAGAAAGTTCCTGCGTAGAAGGGAGACTTGGCAGCTCGTCGCGAGCTCAGAATAACGATGTTGACGGGGCGTTGATGTACAAGGCGGCACCAAAGTTATATACAACTACGCAACTATTACGACACCCCAGCTAGATCTTCTACCACTGGTTGTAACACATACCCAGAAGGCATAGCAAGGCTAAGTGTTAGCTTGCTTTTTTCAACTGTATTTCACTCTGCCTGGCTGTAGGGCTTAGTCCCTCAGGGGAGCTTTTGCCCCGGAATGCAGCGGCCAAGCGCTAGCCCGGATGCGCCAACACGGACATCAGCGCGTCATCAAGCAGCCCTATGCGGCTGCGATCTCCGATGAGACAGTGACATGATGGTGATTCATGGTGCTCAAACCACTTTCCCATATAAGCAATCAGAAGCAGGAGTGGCCCAAGGGACTTGTCCAGTGACAGACGGATGAAATCATTCCATATAGACAAGCGCCAATGAGTTGCAAGCGAATTCCAATCGGTGCGGTGAAGCGAAATAGGTTTTTAGATTCGTCTCACCCCAGGGTCTCGTTTGCTGCGCTTCAACTCCACTCGCCTTCTGTCTACTCTCGGAGCTACAATACAACAAGAACTCTCAGAATCCCTGCAGTCATGGATGCTATTAAGGTTAGTATCGATGATATTTACCCCGATTGTGGAACGAGGATTAACAGAGTTGCCAGAACACCATTGCCGAGAACTTCGGTGGAGCAGCTTCGAAGCTGGGAACTCACCAATTCAGCCTAGACGAATGTCCTGACCAGACAGGCAAGGTAGCCGTCGTCACCGGGGGCAGCGAAGGCATCGGCTACGGCGTCACTTACACCCTCCTCAAGCATAACATATCCAAGATTTACATCCTCTCCGTCTCCAAGGAAGTCGTCGACGGCGCCAAGGATGCCATCACAAAAGACCTCGGTGCCGAGAAGGCCGGGCGCACGAAATGGTTCCAGTGCGACATGGGCGACTGGAAGCGCGTCAAGGAGGTCGCTGAGCAGATCAAGAACGACACAGATCGTCTTGATATTTTGGTGAATAATGCTGCGAGGGGTATCATGACCTACCAGCTCACTGACTACGGTGTCGACCGGCATATGGCTGTGAATCACATGGGCCATGTCGTTCTCACGTCGCATTTGTTGCCTCTCATCAAGCAGACAGCGGAGAAGGGTGATGTTGTGAGGATTGCGAATCAGGCCAGCAACGCACACCAGGCTACACCTAGCGACTGCAAGTTTGAGAGCCTGGAGGAGCTAAATACTGATTTGGGACCCAACGGTCAGTACGGCCGGAGTAAGCTCGCAGGTATCTTGTACGCGAGGTACTTCAACCGGAAGGTCACTCAGAATGGACATCCGAACGTTTTGATGAACGCCACTCATCCTGGGTTTGTGAGCACCAAGATGAGCAAGGAGGAGATTTTCGAGCCGTGAGTTCAGACCTCCATTTCCGTAGATGCTAAAGCTATGTATTGACGCAATGCAGATACCCTCTTGGAGGCTACGCCATGGCGGTTGGGATGGAACCTTTCAAGAAGTCACAGTGGGAGGGTGCTGTGTCTATGGTGTACGCGGCAGCCGCCACGAAGGAGTCCGGTCAATACATTTGTCCTCCTGCGGTTCCTGAGCCGGGCAGCAAGCTTGCTCAGGACGACGCCCTGGCTGACCAGTTGATGGAGTTGACTCGTCAGATCATCACTGAGAAAACTAAGACGTCCTCAGTGGATAAGGGATGTCCCATGGATGACTTGGTCCTGCACTAGATACTAGAATCGCTTCATTTACTGAGGCCATCGTATCAAGGTTAGATATGAGCTGAGTATTAATCTAATTACTGACAACGTGGACGCTCGCTCGCTATCGATGAAATAAAGATCCTTCCCTCCTCCTCTGGTTTACATCACCCTCCAATCCAAAGCCGCACCTGATCTCGCTCGGCGACCAGAGCATGCTATCTCTCGCCCGGGGGTATCTTCCTCCATCCGGACCCATTCCGTCCCCAACATTCTGGCCCATCACGCCGTACCCCAGCTTCAATTGCTTCACATCCTTCGGTACATCGCCCCTATCCCTGTCAGGGCCCTCCCAATTGACCTTCTCCAACGCTGGGCCTCTCGTCGCCGCTACCACGCTCGAGAACCGCGTGTTTCTCAATACACCTCCGTTCTCATTGACCGCGAACCCACCCGCAATCACGCCCAGTATAGCCAGAAATATGGCAATGGAGTACACGATCCACAGGTCACGTTCGTGGTAGCTGTACATATTGGCCATGCGCGACTTCTGGCAGGGGAAGCGATATGCCGAGTGGTTCCCGTCAACGCCGCCCTCGCGCAGCCCGCCCGAGACCTCGCCCGGATGAGCGGCCCATACGACGGGGAGGAACTGCGGGGTCGAAAAGATGGAGAGGATGAGGTCCTCGTAGAATTCCTGCACCATGTCCTGCAGGTCAAAGACGGGGAAGTAGTTGTTGCGGGGGTCGAGGAGCTTCGTCTGGATGGCTTCCGTATTGGCCATTGGATTCGCTGATTGCTTGTCGATCTGCACGGTGCCGTTGAGGAATTTGCGGAGCATGAAGCCCAGGGAATGGTATGCAGCGATCCGTCGATATCGTTCGACGTCTTGAGGGACAACGTAGTTCTCTTTCGGGGTCGCAGTAATATTGTCTGCCGTGCCATCGTTTGCGTCGAGACCGGGGATGTAAGTTGTATTGATGACGGGTATGGTGAAGTTATGTTTCTTCATGTATGCTGACTGTGTGGTGTCGGTGTAGTTGAAGACGGCAGTGTACTCTGTTACATAGTGCTCGCATGCAAAGATCTTGGGGACGTATTGCATTAGCTCATCCTCTTCCTTTGATGAAGCTGGATGGTCCGCGTCGGGCGGGACGACATGACCAATCCAGATGACCGGTTCAGTGCGAAGAGCTCCCATATGCTCAGGATAGGGCGGGTCCATCTTTGGAATACCTCCAATTTCGACGTCCTTCATCTGGGTGGTAGAATACTCTCCACCGCTGGTGAAAGCGTAGTACGCGTACGTCCCTTCAGGGATGAGAATATCCGTCCCAAACGGCGGGGGAGCCTGCCCAGACTCTTGCGTGAGGTTCGCGGGTGTCGAGCCGATACCCCTAGCCTGTTCGCTACACTTATACCCCGGGGCTGTGAAGTCTATCTCAAAAGTACAGTTCCAGCCCTTGCTGCACACCTCCGTTGAGGCGTTCTTCCGCGCGACAACTTCCTGCAAGAAAGCTCCGAGAGTAGCGGTCTGCTGAAAGTTAGGACTTGGCCCGGTGTAATAGTCGAACCAGCCCTCCGGCTCCGAGTCCGCCGGCTTGGTGGAGTTCCAGATGGACAGCGGCATCTCATAACGGCCGTCGATCTTGATGGGCTTTCGCCAGTCGTGAGTGTCCTCCCTTGCGAAATTCAGACTGCGAACGGCCGGGCAGGTAGTGTTTTGCAGAATGGTCTTGGGCTCAACAAGCAAAGTGTTGGCTGTGAGAATGACCACCAGAGGAGAAAGCCTGTGACCTATGTGAGCAAATTCCCTTCATCGTTTCTCATCAACTTCCATCTTCGAACGCTTACCATACGAACAGGGCCAAAGCGGCAGCCACCTTGGCACCCATGAGAAACTCCAAGTTCACAAAAGCAATCACGTTCTCTGTAGCAGCAAACATGGAATCCAGCGCGGCGATACTCATAAACCTCGATCTCACAGTGGTCCAGATCCGCTGCTGGAATGCCGATATGACGGCAGCACCCAAACTCGCCTTGGCCGCAAAAGCCAGGATCGTCCCGTACCTAAGCATACGCACCTGGTCGTCCGCGGGCTGGCCGTTCAGGGTATGATAGTAGACATGGTGGCCGATGGCGCAGCTGATGCCAAGCAAGAGCCACAGGTACATGTTCCATGATGAGTGCCAGCCGCATTGAGGTCTCTTCATCCGTAACGGCCTGTTCCTCTCATTTGGCGGACCCAGATAGTTCTCAGGCACATACGGTGGCGGTTTCGGCGGCTCGTGTTCGTGATCATGCTCGTACTGCTGCTGTGCACCGACTGGAGGTGAGCGATGCCCATCATAGACGGATTCTTGCGCATTCTGCAGCAGGCCGGCACGAGCATCATGGCGCTGGTCTCCGCCGCCGTGGTGGTGATGCGCATCCGCGTCTCTTGGGGAATCATCAGGCGACTCCCGGCCGTGGAACGTGGGATCAGCGCGGTAATGCGCCGATCCGCTAAGCGAGCTCAGGTCGATGCCATGCGTGTCCATCGGGCCGCGGGTCGTCGTCTTCTGTGCCGTAGTGTCGTCCTCGGGCGTCGTCTCCGTGACATGAACGGATGGGCCGAACTTGCTCGGTGCGAATAATGATGTGAGCGGCACGGGTTTGCGAGGGATGGAGTTTGTTCGAGCGTGCCATCCCAGTTGCGGAGAAGAAGTTGTTGACTCTGGTGATACGGGAGAAACCACTTCTGATGCAGGTTGAGGAGCTTGATGAGGAGGTGGAGGTGAGCTCGGGGAGGATGGGATGGAGGATGCGCTAGTTCGCTGGCGCGCATCGAATCTGCCGAGGGGCTGCGGCAACGTCGTCATGTTCGCTGTCAAATGTCTGTCCGTATGGCTGGATGAGATCCAGCTGGAATTTCAGCCCCCCCTTGATAGTCTGGTCCCACGGGAGAGAGACAAGACAAACAATCAGTCTCACACACCAACCCAAATTGCCCATGCATGTGCCACCAGGCAACCACAATAAGCAAGATCCACGAAAGCTTCCGCGCGGTTGGCGTTCCCCGTAGTCGGTTGGGTCACGGGCCTGGACCCTCCTTGGGATACAGTAATCCTCGTGGCTGTGTCTTGAGTGTGCTTTTGCTGCTTGGCCACGCGGGGGAATCCTTTTCTGCAGTAGGGGAAGCGGCGCGCGGGCGTCGTAGACACGGGATGGCTGATGCGTTTCGATCTTTGTTTTCGTATCAAGAACCGGTTCGTCCAGTCTCTTTCCCGTCAACTATGATCCGGGGTCCCGGTAGTGTGGGTTCTTGTCGCTCCTCCGTGTCCGAACGCTACCGCCGTATGGTTGTTGATCGGCGCGTATATCCGTCGCGCAATGGGTACCAAAACCTTACTTTACCAGAAGTTTTTTTTCTCTTCGCAAAGAATCACTGGTATGGTCCATCTGAATTTTTGGGGACCAGTGGAGCATTTGTACACAGGGATGGGCATTTCTGAACCCTCATCAAACCCATGTCGGCCCTCCAGCCCCCTTTTCCCACGCTGTTGGGACCAGCCGCAACATTCTGGGTCATTCTGCTGACACCGATGGTATGGGACGCGCCAATAAGACGGTACGACAACTTTTGAGAGGGAAAAGTCTTCCAGGTTCCAACAGTCTGACTGTTGGTTTTCTGCTTGATGTCACCATCTGGTCGGATTTGCGACCAATAGTACGCCGCCATTGGAGAAGCTGAGCGAAGGATTCAACAGTCCCCGTTCCAGACTTTCTCGGTTGCGATGCAGGATACAGGTGGGTGGGCGGTGTCTGACTCGGCGACAGTTGGTCCCAAAGAAGAGCTCCGTTCCGATACCGTGGTTGCGGACCTGGGTCCGGAAAGAGATCGGGAGCACCCATGATTAAAGGGTCCTCGCCCGTCATGTTCTTTCTATCGTCTATCGTATCTGAGTGACCGCTGGCTTCCGTCTTCGACATTTGAAAAGGTCGATCAAACCACCATGTCTTGCATGAATCAGACCCATCTTGTGCAGCAACTCGAGCACACCCTTTTCCACGAGACGCCCGAAACCTCTCGTGCCCTTGCTTCCTTAAAAGCAGGTACACTAATGAAATCAATATTTTGATATCCCGGGCTTACAGGCGACTCGAAGTTCCATATCGTTGTCAACCTTCGCCATTTAAGGTACCTGTAGTAACACCCGCGCCAGCTCCATACCGCCGCACCCACAAATCTTCAGTGCAAGAACGCCGGCCCAAGACAGGCTCCAGCGACCAACGGGTCTTCAACCCATCTCCCGGTTCCTGTTCACCTGTTGGAAGCCTGAGTAGCTCATCCCTTATGAATCGTTATCAGCCCACTGTATTTCGTAGAAGGTCTGCTCGAACCGTGATTTTCACCACCACCAATCGACCAGCGACAAGGAGGTTGGTTGACCACCTGATATCCCACATAGATACGACCGAACAATCAGACAACCCCAGAAGCAAACATGGCGATCCCTGGCTGTAACAAAGATAGGGTTCAGTCCCGGAACAGGCTCGCTCGCCCCCAGCCATTGACGTCGAGAAGAATGGAAGGGCTTTCCCCGCACAAGATAGCGGACCAAAAGTTATCTGGTATAACAACAAGTGCAAGGGCCCATCAATCTGGAAGACTTTCAACCGTAGAACTGTCGTGTCGTTGTCATCTCGTCTGCGTGCACACGCCGCCGACAGAAAGCCGCGCTGCGCTACGCAACGGTAGCCATGCCTGTACAAGATCAGATCCCCAAACTGCGAGGTACTAACGATGCGTTCTTTCTACCCTCATTGTACAGCAGCATTACGCTCTTTGCCTTGATTTTGCTGTGAATTTGGTATCTATCATCGTGGTACCGGTTACGACACATCCCAGGCCCTTTCCTCAACTCTCTTTCAATTCTACCAATGCAGCATATGACAAGAGGCGGAAAATTAAGTTTCATGTTGAAAGATCTGGGAGACAAATATGGTAAGACTATCAAAATTGTGTCTTGATCCCGCCTAGGCGGCTTACCATTGAACTTAGGACCGCTGGTTCGCGTTGGCCCAAACGAAGTCTTATTCGGCGATCCAGACGCATACCGCAAGATATCAGCGGTCAGGTCGGACTTCACCAAAGGTCCCTGGTATGCTCTCGCCAAGGTCGTGCCTGACCAAGACAGCCTATTCTCGATGAGGAATGATGATCTACGGAAGGAGTACAGAGCCAAGCTGAGTCCTGGTGTATGTAGAAACGTACAACTCGCTAGGCTACGTTGAAGCTGACTTGTTCTAGTACGCCGGTAGAGAAAATGGTGGCTTCGAGCCTGGTGTTGACAGAATTGTCGCGCAATTCGTCAACCTTGTTGAAACTAAGTACATCTCGACGCCAAAAATTTTTCGACCCATAGAGTTTTCCCATAAATCTCAATACTTTGCCCTCGACGTCGTCAGCGAGCTTTCATTTGGAGAAGCGCTTGGATTTCTTGCAAATGATGAAGATTTGTTCGGTTACGTGGCGACCAACGACCTCATCTTTCCGTATCTTGCCGTCATGCTCAATGTACCATGGGTGGGTATATTCATGCAGCAGTGGCCGTTGAATAAGCTTCTACCCTTCTCCAGTGACGAGGTTGGCTTCGGTAAGCTTATGGGGTAAGTCAAGGGACTCTGGCCTTGCTCTCGATGTGCCATCTTCAAGTCGTCAAGTGTCGACTAACCTGTAGCAGAATGGCCAAGAATCTGGCGGACAAGAAGTTGGCAGCCGCATCGGATGAGAACAATATGGTCCAACAACATCTTCGCAACGGGGTAACTTACAAGGAGCTCTTGGCAGAGATCTTCCTGGAATTGTAAGCCTGAGTCTAAAAGCAGCCCAAACACCTCGATGCAAACTAACAACGACAAAGGATAGCGGGCTCCGACTCTACCGCAACGGCGGTCCGCATGACTATGCTCTGTCTGCTCAACACGCCGTCCTCACTGAATGCACTACGGCGCGAGATGGACCAAGGTATTGCCCAAGGCCGCATTAGCTCCCCGATCCGCGACTCAGAGGCCCGCCAACTGCCTTACCTACAAGCCGTCATCAGGGAAGGCATACGCTTGTACCCGCCGTCTACGGGCCTCAACTATAAGCAAGTAGCAAAGGGCGGCACAGAACTTCACGGGCAGTTCTTGCCAGAGGGGACACAGATGGGAGTTAACATTCAAAAGTTGATGAGATCCAAGGACACGTTTGGCTGTGACGCGGACGTGTTCCGGCCGGAGCGCTGGCTGGAAGCCTCCGCTGAAGATGAAGAACGCTTTCGAGAAATGTGTGGCGTCGTTGACCTCGCCTTCGGACATGGCCGGTTTCAGTGTCTTGGGAAGACTATTGCGACCATGGAGCTGAACAAGATCTTCATCGAGGTAAGTTGGCGTCGCTTTTGAATCCTCAACGTTTGTCTTGGAATGGAAGAAAGCTGATCATGATTCTTTGTAGCTGTTCCGGAGATTCGATTTTGCGGTGGTGACTCCTCATGAGCCTCTCAAGCTGTATGATGCTGCTTTTTGGGTCACAACCGATTTCTGGCTGCGAGTAGTACCGAGGTCGAGCGAATCTCCCTGATCTGACGTGCAATGCTTTCTAGAAGTTATTACAGCTTGAAGACTTCGCGCTACCTTGGCATGCAATTGCGACGCCCAAAATATCCATCCTCCAGTTGTCATTGAAAATGTTGAACAATAGTCAGGGGGATGGGACTCTGGACAACATCAATTCACTCAGCCTTTGGGGGTCGAAATGTCATAGAAAGTCAGCGGAGTATCGCGTACTCTTCTGCATCCCAGAATGATTATTGATTGAATAGGAAACAGCCACCGCTATTTGCGCTGATGTATATGAGACCACTCATGTTTGCTCCGAGACTCGGCGGTGAGAAGCTTGACCCTGTGCCCCAATATTTACACTTTCCGCCCACAAATTCCCTGAATATCATCCATGGCGCCGGAACAGAGTTTGGCGGCAATCCCGATGCATCCGCTGCCCTTATCGCCTTAATCCTTAAGGCTCATTTGGGTACGGTGAGATTATCGAGACTGGCATGGGTCCTGGTGGGAAACGTTCAGCGATAACATTCTTGGCAAAGCTCCCAGATGTGTACATGCATCGGTCTGACGGCCGAAGCAATTCAAGTCCTCACAATTGACAAACAAAGGCTAGTTCGGGCGAGTTTCTCTTTCATGGTACGAGTTCGAGCCAATAGTTCATCTGATATTGGTCACGTCAATAGCCGCAGTCAGAACTCCAATCCAGAACTTCGGGCCGCACCTAATAGGCCTCTCTCAAGCTCAAAAGTCCCCTCGCCAAAGACACTCGTCATCAGTACATGGGAAAAGATGGTGTCACTTGCGGCACGCAATGGATCCTTCCAAAGGGACATGGAAAACTATAGCGGGATCGGCTTCGGTGTCGGCTTCGATCAGTGACATACGGGACCAGGGCACCTAAGCTCGCTCCTCTCGGAGCGGGGGAGGGGAAAGGGAGCTGTCATTGCGGGGATTATCCATTGACATTTGTTTCCCCATGCACCTCACATCAACACTCCAGTCATGTCAACGCGGCATACGCAGACGTGTGCCATCAGCTTATCCACGGCGAACAAAGCTACCCCGCCGGCATTGCTTGGCATACATCGAATTCTAGCACAAACAAGGCAGGTCGCCCACGTTTACAAGCAGCTAAGCTCTCTCTTCCACGCCGTCTTACTGCTTGCCGGCCTTTCAAGTTCCATCATTGCGTTAATTGGGGTAGACAAAGCTCGAAAGTACCATGTCTCCCCCAGAATCGGGTCAGCTTCTTCCCAAAGTGCCGGGCTCTTGG